TTTTTTTCATGTTTTTGGGTCTTCAAGTCTCATGCAATACAAAACAACCAAACTTTATAAGAATTAACTAAAAATGCATTAAAAGACGAGCTAAAATCCAAGTAATTGGTATCAAATGTGCCGAAATTCTACGGCATATGAATTCGCAATGTGTTGAACTGGATAAGGTACGCGTTCGCGAGTGGGGTATCGCGGTGGCGTAGAAGAAATTCCCGATCTGAGGCAGTTGTGCTTCGTGAACGAGCCGTCACACCTCCTTTTCTACCTAAAAGGTATATAAAGGAGTTTTTCCAATTTAAGTGACATAATCGAAATGGGATTATTTATTTATTTTCAGAGTCGTCACTTGGGATATATATGGTGTCCCAAGTCATCGATTTATTTAAAATCCCAAATACCACTTTGGTCTAATTCACTTTCATTTTAGCCCACAAATCCCACAGTCTATTATTTCTCGTTAATTCTCCAACTTAGAATCTTGTATCTTAATTTCATGACTATTCTTTTTCCAAAAGGCGGGACCCCTGAACTCAAGAAAAACTAGAGATTAACGATTTAAGGAAACTAAAACTGACCCTATTTTCCAGGCGGGACCCCTAAGCTAAAGAAAAACTAGAGATTAACAACTTAAGGAAAATAAAACTGATCCTATTTTCCACGTGGAACCCCTGAACAAGAAAAAATTGAGATCAACAACTTAAGAAATCTAAAATTGACCCTATTCTCCAAGCGGGACCCCTGAACTTAAGGAATGCCAAAAACTCTTCTGACTAAGGAGAATGCCTAGGAAAGTACGGTTCTTCTCAAATAGGGGAAATGCCTAGGAGGTAATGGTCATCTCAACTTGGGGAATATGTAGGAGGTAAAAACCTTCTCAACTAGGGGAATGCCTAGCAAGTAAAAACCTTCTCAAACAGTCTTTGTGCTGACAAAATTTGGGCGTGACACTTCAAAAATTCAAGCTTCCCAAGCTTTGATTTGGACATAATCTTCGTCCTTGTTTCAAACAAAGAAAACTTGTGAGTTTAAACATGGTGGTTAGTTTGTGGCCTTGACTTTGAGGGCAATTGCTCCTTCACTTCCCATGATAACTTTGATTTCAGCTTGAAAGACCTTGCTTGTTTATTGACTGACCACTTTCTCTGTCACCCTTATCATAGAAAACACCTCTGATTCGTTCAAAACCCAATACCCTTTATCTGTTGCATTGTTCTCATGAATTGACATATACCGCACCTTTGTATTTCACATGAATCCCAAAGCACGTGAATTGCCACCATCGTAGTGCACATACTACTCTTTCCTGACTTAAGCCACTTTGATGTACTAGCCAAACTCCGCTATGTGCAATTGGAAAGCTAGTAGCAAATTTTGAAGTCATTTCTCACTTGTTTTGACAAGACAGACTCAAGAAGATGACTTAAACAAATCAAGAGGAACATAGTAAGGGGACAATGGAAAGAAATGATATCTAATATGAAAATCACCAAGTAGAAACTTATCAGATGTGGATACCAACTCTAATGACCATGACAAGCACTTTTGGATTAAGTGGCCTAATCTGTCAAGCAAGTCTAATATTCAACTCTTGTTGTACCTCTCGCCGTGAAACTGGGCTTCAATGCTCCGATTATCCTATCTGATTAACGATCCATATTCGACTTGTAGTGCCCGAAGGATTTTCACCATCAAGCCTCTCTCATTTTTTCTTTCTCTCAACTCCCCATCGCCTTATGGTGCCTGTGAAGGTTTTCACCGATAAGACCTCTCATTTTGCTCTTTATCTTTTTATTTCCTCTGATTCTGTAGATGACAAGACACTGACCATAGTAAAAACATCATATGCTCCGGCATGTCTAACTCAGCACTCTCAAAGATTATCTGGGAGGTCTTTTTTTGGACTGTAATATGGCTTTTGGACAGGGTTAGAAAGAAGGGATATCATAAAGGCTCAAAATAACTAAGATAACAGGGTTAATTTATTTATAACTTTTGGAATCCATTTCAAACTTTGCCCCAATTTTTAAAACAAGGGAATTTGATTCTTTTTTTTTCTTTTTCTTTTTGAGATGAATTTCTAAGAAAGACTGCCCCACTCTCGACTTCGTGGGATTATGAAATATTTTGTTTGGTGCGACCGAACCTTAAGGCTGCCTACGTATCTTGTGGTGACAAGATTCAGGTCGAACGTAGTTCAAAAAACTACTCTTTGTTACTATTTTTCTTTTTCCCCTTTTTTTCTCTTTTTTTTCTTTTTTTCTTTATCTCTATTTTTCTTTTTTCTTTTTTCTTTTTTTCTTTTGATTTTTCCTTTTGGAATGAACTTTCTAAAACAAACCTATGGGGTTATGGACTTTTTTTTTCTTTTTTCGTATGACTCTAACTTGATTCCAAAAGAGGGGAGGTCAAAGAAATTAGTATAGGCTCAAAAGGGTGTCGAAGGGTATAAAGTGTTTGGGTAGCTGAAAGAGGGCCTCCCAATCCCAGAAAATCCCAAGTACACACCCGCAACTTTAGGATGAAAATTGAAGATCATGCACAATATTTCTTTTGCAGCTTCGGCATTGATATCACTGATATGCCTTCAACTTTTATTTAGTGCCTTGTCAAGTACAGAACTCTCATTGGGTGATTTCTTCTTCACAATGGATACCCTCCGTCTGTTTGGAGAAAAATCCCTTGGCTTTATCTTGTTTCTTGAGATGCACTCGAACTCAAAGCTGCTCGCTTCAAATTGTCCGGGATGCTCTCTCTTCTAACAAATTCTTCTCATCCTATAAACTTCCCAAACTATCTGCCCCTATTTCACACAATTCGGGCTTTAAATGACCTCAAAATGTCCTAATCTTTACTTATTTCCCTCAAATATCCCTGTCATCTTCAAAACATGTTTCATTGTTTCATGATTAGACTAACTTTCAAGACCAGGCTGGGAATTCCACGTGCAAGTCATGTCACTAGAGTCAGCATGGAAAGAACTATAAAGAAAAAGAGAACTAAACAAAAACTGACTAGAAATAATAGAAAATAGGAGATTGCATTAAACAGGCGGTGAAAGGGTTCAAACAACCAAACAAGCAAACAAAACCGGGTTACAACCCTAGAACAACCCTAGATAACACTAAACGAGTTACTACGACTAAACGAACTAGGCAAGATGAAAGGATAGAAGGGTTTGAGTCACAAGACAATATCCGGAGTACAACCCTGAAATAACCCAGATAACAGAAATGACAACAAAATAAACCACCAAGACTCCTCCCCAGGTAACCAAGAAAGGAGCATCTTTCCAATCACCAAGCTCAACATCTTAGCCACTGAGTTCCGCATCAACAGTACTAGGACCTTCAGAAGTCTCTATCACATTGACCTTAGCAAATTGCTTTTGGGTCCCTTTTGCCAGCTCGTTCTTAAGATCAACTTCCAGAACCGAGACTGATAGCACTGAAAACTTTGCAGCAAGTGGCCTTCCAAGGAACTCAGAAGAGTTTTCATATTCCTTTTCAACACAAATCATGCCCACCATATGCGTATCATTATGAAAAGGCAAAGGACTTTGGCTAGTGTCTACTGCATCGGATTTTGCGTGACAATGTCACTTGCGTCAACGAGCTTCTGGACGGATCTTTTCATATTCCAACACTTTTCTATGTTGTGCCCCGGGGCATTAGAGCAATATGCGCACCTTTGAGAATAATCACAATTTTTTGGAAGAGGGTTCGACATTTTTATCTGAATCGGCTTCAACATTTCCAATTGCCTCAACCTTTGGAACAAACTGGCATATGATTCTCCAATGGGAGTGAATGTCTTTTCCTTTTGCTGTTGCCTTTTCATTTTGTACTCCGGCCTCGGTTGGAACCTTTGCGGGTAGGTGGTTGATATGCTTGAGGTGGCGGGTAAGACATTTATGGAGGCGGTGCAGGCCATTGCGGGTCTTGTGGGTGTGTAGCATATGGCGGTGAATTATGGGTAGAGCACTAGGAAAGTGGGGTATGACTTTAGGGATTTTGTGGAGAGAAGTAGCAGTGGGGAGGATTATCTGGAGTACGAGGATATTCATGGGGTCGATGTCGAGGCTAAAAGCATTGAGCAGGAACACCCACTAGATCTTGTCGTTGGCAGGGCTCAACAACATCTTTTCTGTTTCTCTTTCTTATCCCCAAACTTACTGAGATGTTCTGAATGTCTTCCGTAGTATCTTTCACTGCAGAATAGCTCATGATTTTGCCTAACTTGATTCCATCTTCTACTATCTCCCCCATTTTTACCATATCATTTAAAGGTTTACCCAAGGCCGGGATCAACTGAATGAAGTAGGTGGGACCCTGGGCTTGTAGGAAAAGCTCAACCATTTCTTCTTCACCAATCGGGGGACTGACTCGAGCAGCTTGTTCCCTCCATCTGAGTCCAAAATCCCTAAAACTTTCCTCGGGTTTCTTTTCCAACATAGATAAGGAGGAGCGGTCTGGGATAATGTCTAGATTGTACTGAACGTGTCGAACAAAATCTTGAGCCATGTCATCCCATGCATGCCACTTATTGACATCTTGACGAGTATACCATTCCAAGGCTTCCCCAGTCAAGCCCTCATTGAAATACGCCATCAACAAATCGTCTTTCCCGCCAACACTTCTCATTTCACTGTAATAACCCCTCAGATGGGCTACTGGATCTCCACTCCCATCATACAAGTTAAACTTTGGCATTTTAAACCCCGTGGGCGGATGAACATCAGGGAACATACACAAGTCATTGTAAGACATGTTAATTTGATTTCACATCCCTTGCATGCTCCTTAAGGACCGTTCTATACCTTTCAGCTTCCTGGATACCCCATCTCGCCCTTCTTTTCCTGTGAACTTTTCATTTTCAATATGAGGCTCATTCCGAGGGCTATGATTGTATGAGTCAGGGACCTTGTGGGAAACCTCCGAGGGGTAATATTAGGCATCATGAGTTTTGAGTGGGTGTTCACTATTGGATCTATGTAGAAAAGAATGTTGAGAAGTTGTGATCGTGAGGATAATGGATATGACAGGAGGGAAACTTTTAGGAAAGGTAGTTGGAGGACGGGTGATTGAGCTACTAGAGTGGTTGGGAAAGCTGTGATAAGCGGGAGAATCTGGAGAGTATGGTGGATCATCTGGCACTATGACCGGAGTTTGGGTAAGGGTAGCATCAAAGAAGCTAGGTGGTGGCGGGGGTGGTGCCTTCCTAGTCGTCCAATACCGATACATGTCTACCACGTGTTGTCTTAACATCCTTACCTATTCAACCAACCCATTGTCCTGTTTAACCAATTGCTTTCCGGAACCACTATCAGCCAACTCAATTCTGTTGTTGTCTTCCATTACCTTTCGATTTTATGTTGTAGGGAAGAGTTACTAGTTTAAGAACCACAAACCAACCACCCTTCTGCCATAATGAAGATAACAAAGAGGAACAAAATGAAGTCATCACGTTAGCGTTAGGGCATTTAACATAAGATAATCTCACATTATGTGCAATGCACCTAGTCACAGTTATCGGTTCTAAAATGACTTCGAGGGTACGAAGGTCATATGGCATCATCCCAATTCACTCTTGTTGCCCCGTTTCCTCTTCATTTTCCTTTCTAGCACCGCTTGGTTTTTCATTTCATTCCCCCTCTTTTTTTTTTGATTATTGCTCCTTTCTTTCCTCTTATTTATCACATCCCACAACTTCATTCTCTCCTTTTTTTCTCTTTTTTTTTATTTTTCTTTAATTTTTTTTAATGATTATTCGATCGAACCCTATGTAGGTTGCCTACGTATCATGTCCCTCATGAATTAGAACAAGCGTAGTTTTGAGAAATCGAGAATAGACTAAACAAACTAATATTCTCTCTTCTTTTTTTTTTACCTTAATGACTACTCTAACGAGAAAAAAGAAGAAAATCTCTCTTTTTTTAGACTTAATGTTCTATAATCTATTCTGTAACGACCCGACGGGTCATTTTGCATTTTAGAACCCTGTTCCCCTAAATAAAACTTCCCGCACTTGCCTTAACTAATTTACGACCTGCAGGGATGGTTGGTTTGGGATTTGGAGGAGTTTGGGTTGAAATAAGCACACTTGATTCTTTAAAATTTTCATAAAAGGCTAAGTTTGACTTTTGTCACATTTTTAGTAAATGGACTCGGACTCGTGATTTGATGGTCCCGGAGGGTCCGTAGGAAAATATGGGACCTGGGCGTATGCCCGGAATCGAATTCCGAGGTCCCTAGCCCGAGTAATGAATTTTTGTTGAAAATTGTAAAGCTGGAAATTCTAAGGATTTAATGAAATCGAATAATACTTGATCATGTTGGTATCGGGCTTGTATGTTGGTTCTGGAGCCAGGTACAGGTCCAATATAACATTTAAGAATTGCCCACAAAATTTGGTGTCAATCCGAGTAGTTTAAGTACGTTTCGACACGTTAGATGTGAATTTAAGAACTTGAAGTTTATAAGTTTGATTCAATTGGTTTTACGGGGTGATTCTTAGATTTAGCATTATTTCGGGCATTCCGAGGGTTGGAGCGAGCCCGTTTCATGATTTCAAACTAGTCGGTATAATCGGGCGGGGCCCGAGGGCCCCGAGCGTCAATCGAGCGAGGCTCGAGTGAAGTTGGAAATTTTTGGAAGGGCTGAAGCTCCAGATATCTTTCATAACCGCACCTGCGGTTGGTCAGCCGCAGGTGCGAGACCGCAAAAGCAGACAACCCCTTGTAGATGCGGCCAAGCCCGTCCAGGCCCAAAGCCGCAGAAGCGGCTATTTTTCTGCAGAAGCGGAGCCGCAAAAGCGGCTTGCATCTCGCAGATGTGGCCCAGCGGCCCAGTTGAGATTCCGCAGAAGCGGGCTCCTTTCCGCAGATGCGGTGGGCGCAGGTGCGGCCCAGGACCGCAGGTGCGGCCCAGGACCGCATATGCGGAAATCGCCGAAGCAGTGAGCTTCATTTAATACGGGCTCCAGCCTTTTTTGCCCATTTTGCACTCGTTTATTGGGCGATTTTGGAGCTCTTGAGAGACCATTTCCACCTAGCACCTTGAAGTAAGTTCATCTTCCTTATTTCTAAGTTTAATACTTGAGTTTTGGGTAAGTTCATCTTCCTTATTTCTAAGTTTAATACTTGAGTTTTGGGTAGATTAAATCACAAAGATTAGGAAAAATCAAAGGATTAGAGCAAAACCTAGGGTTTTGATAAAACTTAGATTCTACTATGAAATTTGTTAAGGAATGAAGTAGAAATCATATATTATTGATGCTTAGGTTATAGAGAACAACTTTCTTCAAAAGGTTCCGGAATCCGGGCACGTGGGCCCGGGGTCGAATTTTAGGAAACTTGTGTTTAAAGTGGGAATTACTTTAGTAATTAAAATGCGTACTCTTGAGCTTCTATTGACTAGTTCCTACTTCGTTTAACTAGTTTCGGATCGTGCGACTCCAAATTTGAGGGTTTGAGCACGTTCTTGATATTGGAAGTATGCTTTGGAGCGAGGTGAGTCTCCTATCTAACCTTGTGAGAGGAAATTGTCCCCATAGGTGTAATAATTGAATAATTTGCCACTAAATGCGGGGGCTACGTACGTACTAGGTGACGAGAGCCCGTGCATAGCCACTATTATGCTTAAGTCCGGGTAATTTAGGACCCAAAAGCATGCTTTATGTAATGTTCTTGTAACTTTATGATTAATTTGGGGATTTCTTAAATCATGTTGAATGTTGTAAATGACTCTAATAAGAAGAACATCAATTTTCTTGGCCCTTTCAAAGAGAAGTTGATATTTTCGTGAATAATTGCTCTCCTGACATATATTCTTGTCTGCATGTTGTTTTGTTTAAATACATTTGACCGTGTCGAATGTATGATTCGCTAGCGGGGTAATAGATGCATCTATGGTTCGTGTCGTTCGACCCTCCGGCAGTGCACACTTTATTTTTATGTTGGATCGGGCCGTACGACCTCGGCACTACTTGCGTATGCTTATTGCTTGGTATATTGCTGTGATCGAAACTTTGTAATATGCCCTGAAATGTAAATGGCCAGCTGTGATATCATCTAGGGAAGGACCTGTAGCCTCATGCAATAAATTGTTAATCATTTGTGCTATCAATGCTTAGTATATCACTTATCATATTATTTGACACTAGTAAGTGTCAAGTCGACCTCTCGTCGCTACTTCTTCGAGATTAGACAGGATACTTACTGGGTACATATTGTTTATGTACTCATACTATACTTATGTACTTAATTGTACAGGATCTGAGGCAGGTACATCCGGTTACCAGGCTAGTGCATACCCTTGATTCAGCCGAGATTCCACAGTGAGTTGCTCCCTTCCTATGTCGTTCAGCAGCCCGATGGAGTCTTTTCTTTATTTTGGCTGTCTACTCTATTTCAGACAGTAGGATAGTATTATTCTTTTGTATATTCTACTAGTTGCCCACATACTTGTGGCACCAAGTCTTGGCACACACATTAGTACACTATTCTTTTGGTTTGTATAACTATTATTGTATGTTGCTAATTATCACATGTTTTAAATTCAAATTAAGAAATTATTGTAACTGTTTTAGTAAAGTAAAACAAGAATTCACTAATACATCCGCGTTGGCTTGCCTGACAACGGTGTTGGCCGCCATCACGACCTGAGGTGAAATTGGGTCGCGACATATTCTAAACTCAATCTTCAACGAGCAAATATTTTTTTCTTTTTCTTTTTTTGAAACAGATACTCTATGAGAAATTATTAAGGAAAAAAACCTAAAAGAGAAAAATATTTTCTGATTCATTTTTTAGGAGGGAAATCTAAAGAATAAACCAAAGAAAAATATTTTGAATTTTCATTTGATATCCTGAAAAAGATAAAAAAATATTTTTGGATTTCAATTTTTGATTTCCTAAGGGAGAAACTCTAAAGATAAACAAAAGATAAAGTATATTTTTTTTCTTCTATATATAATGTCCTAAAGCTCTAGTGAAACTAAAAAGAATATTTCTTTTTCTTATGTTTTTTATTAATTTTCCAAAGAAAAACCTAAAAAAGAAAATCTTTTTTTGGATTTTTGGAATTAATATGTTAAATAAAAAATCTAAAGAGGTATCAAAAGAAAATTCTTTTTTTTGTTTTAATTTTTTAGTCTAAATATACTAAAGTAAATATAAAAGCAATTTTTTTTATTTTGAGTTCTAGATATTAATTTCCTAAAGGGGGAAAACCACCTCAATAGTTTTTTTTTTTAAAAATTCTAGATTTAGTATTCTAAAGAAAACTTCTAACGGAAATATAAAAACGTAAAATCTCTTTTTTTGGATTTTTAATTTATAACACATTTTTTCAAATACAAAATAGGAAGTACAATGACAAAAGACTCGACAAACTTAACTAGACTATGACAGACCCTGCTTCACCTAAAAGACTCGACATTACTGTACAAAACTAGAAGGTGAAAGACGACATAAAAAGAAAAACAGACTCAAAACATTAAAAATAATCTCCTTAAGCAACTCCTGAATGAGCGATCCTGACTGGATGATCCTGGGGCGTCTGTCATGCTCAAACTCCGGTAAGTAGATCCACACATGTATGAGAAAATTAAGACCAAATAAAGTTAATGACCCAGAACTCTATGTGAGACAATAACACTTCCTATTTGACACATGCAAGGCATGATTGAGGCTATTTTGGCAAAACGGCCTACGTGGCCAAAAGTGGCTAGACATGCAAGATTTGGCTAAGACCCCGTGAAGTCAAGAACCTAAGACTCGCTAGGAAGACCGTACCCTATGTGGGCTGCCTACGTTTCCGAAAGACGAGAATCAGGTATGCGTAGTTCGGGAAGATTGGATACGGGCGAGAATTTTAAAAACACACTAATTTGAAGAAAACATATTCTTTGTCTTTTTTTTTTTTGAAAAATGATGAAACATGTTTCTTTTCCCTTTTTTTTCGGAAACTGATGGGAAAGTGCAAAATCTTTTTTGGGATTTTTCATTCTTTTTTTTTTGTCTTTTTTCTTTAAAAAAAAGTGGAAAGAAAAACATAACTGGG